AAAAGTTTCTAGATTGATCCAGATTTAACTGAGAATATCTTAATTATGTTCCGGTTTTAATAAACCTCGCGACATTTATCTCCCGGTTGTTAATGATAAAACCCATGTAACGATGGAAAACAATCGTTTGACGCAAAACAAACAACAACAACAATTTTAATTATTTTTTTCTTTAATTTATTACAGACAGTGCCTGATTACTAACCTTAAATCGATCGAAGAAGAATGGTACGGAGAAGAATTATGTCTTGGAGAAACGACGACAATTTCCGACGTGGGAGGAGACGAAGAATTCGAACTCGAAAAAACCGCTTCAGGTAATAACTGAAATTAAATTTTTTTTTTTTTTTTTTAGCTCATGATTTTAATGAAAATATTTTTTCGTCTGCTTTAAGCTATTGCATATTTTTAAATAAAACAAATCTTACGTCATTTAATACGGTACATTCGTAAGATGGTTGATATTTATCTTGTTCAGACAATGGTCTCTTTAATATTTTTTCTCTGTCTTGTTTATGTTTTCTATCGGCACCTTTTAACTGAGCGTACACCAAAAAAAAAAATTAAATTGTAATTATTAATTACTGCGTTAAAAATTATTATTATTATTATTTTAATTTTTACCTTAAAAACTTTTATTTGACAAGCAGCCGCATGTAAACGCATGGATTCACCTTCGATAAAAGTTTCGACTTGAATTCTAAAAGGTACACCTTTTTCCCCTCCATGTTTTTTCGGTGTAAATTCCGTACTGATGCAATTTACCTAAGAAATAATAATAATAATAATAATAAAATTTCCATAGAGTTCTCCTAATGAGATAGGAGGAGGAGGGAGGGAAATAAACAAACTTTTATGTAAGCTCCAACTTCTTTTGTAGGATCCCATAAAAAAGATAAAGTGTTTAACATGGTTGGATCTTGTTCAACGTCAAAAAGTCCGTAAGAAAGTGGTACGTCTAATTCCACGATACGTTCTCCGGGTCTAGATGCTTGCCAAGCAAATATTTGTTCTTTTTCCATATACTGAAGTCTTCTTTCGTGAAAACAAATTCTAATAATGCTCTATCCAAACATAAAACATAAAAAAACCACCTTAACATCAAGCGAAAATAATTATTAATAAATAATAATATGAAATTAATTAATTTTTTTTTTTTAATTATCTAAAAAAATAAATTAATAACAAATGTTTTACAATATGTATATATATATGTATAATTCCTATTATTAAATAAATACATCAGTACAAATGAAACTGTAAAAAAAAAATGTATATACATATAAAATGACTACTACTTAAATAGCAAACATAAACTGTTACAAACTGTTTTTAAAATAATAATAATAATAATTTGAATTATTATTAATTAGCGGTTAATTTATCATTTATTTCCAGGCATTGTTCGGTTGGATTTCTCGGAGAATTATTTTCACTTTCTACTTCTAGAGCATTCGATTCGACGAGTTTTGAACTGCTTAAAATGTTGGATACCAATTTACAAAGGGATGCATTTGACGTAACGGTAAGGTTGTTACAATTCGTTAACGGAGGATTATTAATTGATTGAAGATTTGAATTAAATGATAAATTCAATGCGAAATGATCGTTTGGCACGTCAATATGATTTTTAACATGTCCTCCTCCTTTCGTATGTTTTTTATAATGCGGATAATAAGGATTTCGTTTTAATTTTCTAAACATTTTTATCGATAATTTTTTTATATTTGGAAAATATGAGCGTAACGCAAGAAACACTATAATTCCTATAATAAGTAATTTATCTACACTAAAAAATGAATTTTCCGGTTCTGCAATAACGTTTCCTTTGAACAAAGGATTGAAAGTTAACACTTTAAAGAATTTCACTATCCAATGTAAGGGATTGTAATCGAAACAAAGTGGTTTTTCGTATACGATCAACGACGTTATGGTTTTAAATATGGTACCATCTTTGTTCGGATGTATATATTCAACGGCTTCTATCATTGTATCTGCGTTTGTAAATATGTATATTAAAACAGCACACGTGTATTGGATAACCCATGAAACTGCTTGATATGTAAATATTAATACTTTAAGTGCAAACGATTGAGTTATTTCGGCTAATTCTTTTGTATCAATATCATCTCCGACAATCCATTCTCTTATATAAAAATATGCTTCTTTAAAACAATCGTAACCGCTTGAAAGTACGTCGTAAATATCGCTTTCATCAAATTTATCATCATGAGATCCAAAGTAATGTAAAAATAAATATGCCGCCATTTTAGGCTACGAGACGATTTTTTTATTTATTTACTATTTACTATTGCATATCGAAAAATGAACGGAAAAAAAAAAATTTTATTCATTCGTAATTTTTTTGTAAATTATTAATTGATTATCATCATGTTATCACCATTTAAAAAATTAACGTAAAATAATTCAAAAAAAAATTATTATAAACGTATTTCATATTATCGATAAATTAATTTAAATAATATTTCTTACTTTAAGAATTTTCCCGCGAAAATTTGAAAGTTCTCCAACTTTTTTCAATTTGATTTCATATGATTGCCCTTGATTTAAATAAGTTATTGTTTCTTCTGACACTTTCGTTGCTATTGATGTAGCTGCCGCTAATACGTACTGAAATCTTTTTTTTTTTAAAAAAAATAATATTTTTTAATTAGCTGAAATATATTTAAATAAATTCACGGGGGGGGGGGAGGGAATCTAAAGTCTTTAAAAATTAGAGTAATGAAATATAAATGGGTGAATAAATATTTTAAAAAAATTTTTAGTGTTGTAATCAATTAATTAAATATTAATAACATTAAAAGTGGGCGTGTCTTAAAATGTTTTTCCCTCTATTCTCATTGGTTAATTTTCGCAGCCATTAAAATTTATTTTCTCGCTTTCTTATTGGTCGGTAATAAAATTAATTTATTAATTGCGGTATCGATAATTATCAATAGATGTCACTACTCGTCGGTAATTAAATTTTAAATAAAAATTACATAACTTTTTATTGATTCTGTCTTATTTATTTATAGACCACGATTTTTGGATTTTAATCATCAAATAAACTTTTTATCATTTTTCGATTAATAATAGACAAATTAATTAAGCCTTTTTTTTTTTTTTGGTAAATAACACGTAAATGATATCATACCTACAGTCTTCATTTTTTTTTTCATTTGTTTCTTGTAATTTGTTTAAACACGTAAAATTATTTCTCTTCATATTATTATTATTATTGTAATTATTTTGCTGTTGAAGTAATCTGTGAAGTGTCGTGGCGTGATCTTGAGATTCTTCATAATTTTGTTGTGAATGAGAATGATTTAAATTTGTTAGATTTTCTTGCGGTGGCGACAAAGCTTCTTGTTTAAAAACGGTCAATGATGGAAGAGATAAAAGAGCCTCACTTGAACAAAAAAAAATTCTTTTTGTAATTTTACTTTAAACATGTTTAAAAAAACATTAAATAAATAATAATAATGACCTCATGTTATAGGATCCGGTGGATAATTCGGCACCCAAATTAGATAAACTACCATCTAAATCCGCGGTCATGTCTTCCATAACGTCGACATGCCATGAAGGCATTTTCGAACTTCCTGCTTCTAAAAATAAAATTATCATTACAAAAAAATACCTTAACTCATAACAAAAATATTATTAACGACTCTTAAATAATAATAATAATAATAGTGATAACTTTGTAAATATTAATTAACTCTATTAGTTACCTGTTCTGGGTAGTAACATTTAGTACTTTTATTAAAATCCCCTATTTATATCAATAAATATTATTATTATTATTATTATTATTATTATTATTATGTAACGAAATCATAATAAATAGAACGTAGTGGAAAATTTTTTCTCAAAAGTTTAAAATATATATCGAATAAATTGATTTTATTTAACAAAAAGCAGTAGAAATAATAAATCACATCGTTTTTTTTTTTTTTTTTTTTTTTGTTTTAACCGATCTTTTATTTTCTTATCAGTCTGTGAACTGTAAAATTTGTAGGTTTAAACCTTTTTCATAATTTTATGACCACAAACAAAACATTTTAAAATCCACACAGAAAAATTGAATCGATTAAAAAATTTATGCAATATTTTGTTTAACACGACTATTCGAAATTTAAAAATAAACGCACTTGAATAATAATAATAATATTCTCAATAAATGTTTTGTTAAAACTAAATAATTTCTTCTTATTTTTTGTTGTTTAATAAATGTTTTCTAGACCATATTAAAAGATAAAAACTCTCACACAAAGGCCTGAGAATTGTCCATCGTTATCAATAAAAACAATGTTGGGTGAACCCTCATTATCTCTTTTCTATGACACTAATCATCATCATTTCAAATTTTTTTTTTCCTTTTTTATTTATTCCCGTTTCATGCGATTACGCACATATTAATAATAATAATAATAATAATTTATTCAATCTATTTTTTATTTATTTATTAATATCACAAAAAAATCACCGAAAAAAAAAGATCAATCGGAATTTTTTTTCGTACAAAAATTTCAAATTTTTGTTTGTTGCGTTTAAAAAAAATTATTAATTTAATTATTATTATTATTATTATTACGTAATGAGATTTTTAAAAAAATTAATAATAATAATTATTCTTACCGTTATTTTTTAAAAAATTATTTAAATCAACGTCGGATTCGTATAAATTTTTACTCTTTTTATTTTCACTCGACGGTTCGTATATTTTTTCATCATTAGAATTTTTTCTTTTATTAACTGTAAAAAATAATAATAATAATAATAATTCATCGGATATTTAAATAAATTTTCACATCGCGTAAGATTAATAAAAAAAAAAAAAAAATCGTACCTGAAACGTTTTCATCGTTTTCGAAAAATTGATATGATTGTAACGAATTCAAATTTTCATACGGACAATTATGTAATTCGAATGAATTATTATTATTATTATTATTATTATTATTATCGTTAATTGTTTTATTAATATCGAGTCCATCGAAAAAACCAGATTCTTTACTTGATGACGATTCTGGAGAATTTATTGGAGAGAAAAAAAATTTAACGGTCGATTCCTTCTTTGTCGTATCATAATAATTCTCATTTATAAAATGGCGGATTTTTTTATTTAAATAAAAATCGTTGAATTTTTCATTTGTTTGAAACGATGAATTCTTATCAATTTTATCAAATAATGATTCCGTTATAACGTTCGTATTTGTATAAATGAACGATTCGAATTCCATTTCGAATTTTTTAAAAAATTTTTAATTAATTAATTAATTACGTAATATTTTTTTTTTTTTTTAAAGGAAAAAATTCACCGTTGAGTTTTAAGCTTTCTTGACATGCTACGATACCTTGAAAATTTTCTACGTTCGATAAGAAATATTTCCGTTATTTTAAATTCTTCCATCATTTTTATATTTTCAATTATAATAACAATTAATAATTTTTTATTGATAGATGATAATTTAATATTTTCAATTCCAAAAAATAATAATTTAATCGAAAACATCACCACAATTTAATCCTTTTATTACTTTCCTTTTCTTCTTTTTTTTTTTTTTACGTCGAAAGTAATTATTATTATTATTATTATTGTTTTATGTATATATAAATTTAATAATTAATAATTAACAATCATCTTTTATCTTGATGATATTGTATGTATTTTTTGGTAAAATGAAAATTCCATTTTATTATTAATACGAAATTTTCCTCAATGAAAAATAAATATTTTCTTATTGTTTGATTTGACGAGAAAATTCCGAACGGGGGGAAAATTTCTAAAATATAAAATTAATAAAATTAATAATACCCTTCGAACCGTTTCGTAATTATTATTAACTTTTTTTATTAACCAACAAAGTGTCCAACGGTAATAAAAAAAAATTATTATTTTTTATTTTATTTCATGTTTAATTTTAACAAACTTAATAACATAAGTTTGTTTCTCTTACCTTTTTAAATTTTAATAATAATAATAATAATAAAAACCTTCAAAAGAAGGAAAAATCTGTAAAAATAAAAAAATTAAAAAAAATTTCATTGATGTCAAATAAAATAATTTATTTTTCAAAATGGCCGACTTACGTAAGACAAAACAGGTAATGCAAAAAAAAAAATTACAAATATATATATATATATATAAAATAAATTAATTTTATTTGAATTATGTATAATACATACTTGAAAATTTTTAATTAATAATCGAAAAGAAAAATTAATTTAACAAAAAAAAAAAAATTATTAATTAAATAACAAACGAACGAGCGAAACAAACAAACGAACGTAACAGACAAAAAAAAGAACAAACCTGTAATTTTGATTATAAGATAATAAATATTTTTAGGTTTTTGAATTTGTAGAAACTTGGTAAAAAAGTTACACGTTTAATTAATATATAATAATAATAATAATAATAATAAAATTTGTGTTTGTGATGTTCGTAATTTAAATTTCAAAAGGAAATCATATTTGATAATTAAATAATATAAACGTTATCAAATTTAAACATATTTATTTATTTCATATGAAATTGTTTAATGTTGTTACAAAATGAAAAATTGTTTAAATAATTTTTGAATGAACCATCGTATTGAAAGAAAAAACAAAGAAAAAAATTATTTTCTGATAAGACACACAAAATAAACAAAAAAAAAAAAATTATTTGAAGATTCACATAAATAAGCCGGAAAAACTTATAAAAAATTAATTGTATTTGTATAAAATTTTTTATTACAATTATATTACTTTTTCATGTGAAAAAATTTTTTTTAAAGATTAAATTATTTTCTGGCAAACATTTTAAATAATTAAAAATGAAAAATAAAGTGTAATAACGTTTTTTTTTTTTTTTTTACACGCGAAATAATTATCAGTTAGTTTTTTTTAATAATTAAAAATTTTACAAAAAAAAAAAAAAAAAACCGTCATTTACGCCATTTTTAATTTTTTTTTTTTTTATATCGAGTGATAAGTTAAACATAAATCAAATTCGTTAATAATTTTTTTTTTTTTTTAAAGTTGGCCAAAGTGTTTAAATCACGTTGTCAAACCTGCTCACACTGTCTACACTGTATTTCTAAATTTATTATATATATCTCAACGTTTATTTTTTTTTTCTTTCTAAATTTAATTTATTTTCCGAATATTATTATTATTATTTTATTGTATAAAAAAAAAAAATTTTTTTTTTTAATTTAGATAAAAAATAAATTTAAAATTAATAATGAAAAGTTAAATTAAATAAATTATTTTGTTGTAGGCATGACAGGGTCAGTATTATTAGTGAATTTTATTTGTTTATATGACACAAATATTTGTTTTAATTTCAATTCTAGAATTTTGTTTTAAATTTTATTTATTTTAATAACATGCAAAGTAATTATAACTTTTATTCAAAGAACTCAATCGGAATTACATAAATAAAATTTTATTAACTCTTAATTTAATAAATATAACCTAAATTAATAATTTGTTTTTTTTTTTTTTTTAAATATGTTTTTTTTTTTATTTCTTATTAATTTTATTTTAAATCAATTTTTTTTAAAAGCATTAAATAAATTATTTTATAAATTGTGTTTTAATAACTGTAATTGATACATTTTTGATATTATAAATAAATTTTTTTAAATTTTATTTTTGGTATTTTATTATTTTATTTATATTTAAATTAACAATGTATTAATAGTTTTATATGAAATTTTAGTTTATAATTGTAAATATAAATTAGGGTATTGTCATTAATGTTTGTTAATTAATGTAATTGTGTACATGTCATCGAGTTTTTTTTATGACTTTCATTCACATATTTAAATTTGTCGATTTTAGATTAATTATTTTAAATGGAAGATAACGAAAGTGAAAGACAAAAATTACAAAAAATAAAAAGCATTATTGAAAGAGAAATAGATAAAGAATTAACTAGTAAACAAAATGAAGTATCTGAAATCACAGAGAAAATAAAAAATGTACTTAGAAATCTTGAATTATTAAAATATGTTGTCGCTGTTAGTTATTACGATCAGAATCCAGTACTTACATCGAAAAAGGTTAGAATTAAAATTATATGTTTTTATTTTACAAATGTTTTTTTTTTTTGTTTTAAGTTTAGCTAATGTATTTTTTTTCTTTTTTTTAGGGTCAAGATGAAGAAACTGATGAAAAATTTCAAAATCAAATTCATCCTTGTGTCAAAAAACTTTTACCGTTTAAATCAAATTACAATAAATCAATGGGTGATGTACTCGGAAGTCATTCTTACGAAACGAGAAAAAGTAAAAAAACAGATCAATGTGTTGTTCAATCGACAGTTTCTAATATAAAAAAAGAAGAGTCTAATGTTAATCAGCAAAACAATTTAAAAATGCCTCAGTATGTACCACCCTTACCTAATAAAAATGAAACCATACCTTCATGTAATTCTTCTGCTGGGAATGGATCTAAAGTTTCTTATAGGTTTGTAATATTTAATTATGAATATTAACTTATTTTTAAACATTTAATATTTAACTAATAAAATAACCAAACCTAATCAATTTTGTTTCCTGTTGTATTCCGATATAATCTTATTGAAATTGTTTTTTTTTTGTTTTCAGAGTAATAGTAGGAAATGTTTCAAAATGGATACCACCTGATACAAGGGAAGATAAATCCACTCACAAATGGATGGTTTATATTAGAAATAAAGATGAAAGTAAAGATGTAACAAAATTATTAAAAAAAGTTCGTTATTTTTTACACGAAAGTTATAAACCTCACGACATAATAGACGTTACATCTCCATTTCAATTAACTCGAAGAGGGTGGGGTGAATTTCCAATAAGAGTTCAACTACATTTTATTCATCCTTTAAATAAACCGGTTGATATTATTCATAATTTAAAATTAGATATGTCTTGTTCTGGTGTTCAAATGCTCGGAGGAGAAACGGTCGTTGAAGTTAGCCTTCATCAAAATGAAGATTTAAACAATATGGCGACAAATGAAAACCTGATAAAACAAGAAGTTATAACAAATTTAAATTGGATAAAAGAAGAACCGATTGATGAAAAGCAAGACGTGTACGATGATAGTTTATTGACGAATATTAACGGTTTTAAATCTGCCACGAATGGAATGGTTGAAAATTTAGATATCAATAATGATGAAATCGACGTGGTCGTAAAAAAAGAAGAACCAGAGGATGATTTTACCAATTCCGATGTATATAATATTAAAATGGAAGAAATGAAATTAGCAATTAATAACAGTAGAAAATTTCTTTTGGATCGAAGAAAAGCCATCAAAACGGTAGAAATAGAACACGATTATTTAAGTACATCAGGAAATGGACATCTTTCGGATGCGTACCTGAATACATTTTCCGATTCCATAATAAAAAAAGACAAAACGAAAGGTAATACGTCAGAAGAAGAAGAAGATAGTAATGGGTTTGGTAAAAACGGTTACGTTTTACATCCCGTCAGAGAAATATTTAATAAAAAAAATCAAATCCGTTTAACTCGAATAACAATGTTTTCGAATAAAACCGAAGAAGACGTTTTCAAAACTTTGGTAGTCAATTTTAATAAATTAGAAGGGGAAGGAGGACAATCAAAACAACCGTTAAAACTATTCAAGCACATGTACCTTGTAAATATAATGCAAAGGGCTCAAGACACGAAATTGAATACCGTCGAACCTTTGGTACAATGGTTCGTTCAAAAATGGCCGATAATAACGAAATTATCTCGCGATCCGACATACAGAATAATACATCCGTATTCTTGTTCGTCTGAAGAAGAATTTTTTAATTTTAACATCGGAAAACAAAGATCCGCGGAATGGTATCGTGCAAAAGGAATACAGAAAATATTGAAATCGTTGAAAACGACGATACCCATAGAAGAAGAAATATGGACGACGAAACAAATAATGTTGTGGAGTCGTTTTCACGGGTATTTTCCAATGAGATATCAAAAAGGTATAAAACGCGATGCGGACGACGTCGTGTCAGGTAATAATAATAATACTAATAATAATAATAAAAGTAGCAAAACCGTAAAGTGGAACGAGAGCAGCAGCGAATCAGACGACGGTTTAGAAGATTATTATTACAACAACGAGGGAAAATTAAACAACGGTCAATTTATTAACGGTTTAATTAACGTGACGGAAAAGAAAAAAAATTATAAGAAAAGCAGAAAAAAAGAATCAGAAGAAAATAGAATGGTGAATTATAAAAATTTCAACACAGCCACTGATTTAAATGATCCTTTTAGATTTGGAATCAACGAATTTAGAACGTTAGAACGCATCGAAGAATGTGACGTGGATGTAGAAACAGTAGACACGAATAAAAGTAAATTAATTTTTTTTTTTTTTTTTTACCTTTCGTTGTTGATTACTTTTTATTTAATGTCGAATTAAAAACCGTTTTTCTTTTGTTGTTTCAGAAACTTCCAGAGAGAGGAAGAAAAAAGAAATAGAAATAAATATAAAAACGATTCCCCCGGGAGAACAAGTTATAAATAAATTCGTTTGCGATACAGCTAAAGAAATAGGAATAAAAATAAAAGATGAAGAAATACTAACGGGTATCAAATGCGATTCGGTATCTCGCGTCATCTCTCAATCCGTCGCATCTTTTCTAGAAGAACTCGTTAGGAAATCTTTAGCTCGTGCATGGTCGAGAAATCGCGATAGGTAACGTATTCACAATGGGTGACACTTTTGTTTTTTCCTTTTGAAATGGAAAGAGAGAGAGAGAGAGAATGGAGAAAAAGAAATTTTTCTACTGCCACGATATTAATTTCAGGTGTCCGGAATCGATAGAAGTGAATGACGTTTTGGGTGCCATTATAGAACATCCACGATTCGATATATTCACAAATAGAGGTTTGGGTGAAGAAGTTTCGTCGTTCAAAACGAACGTTTAAAAAAAAAAATTTTTTTAAATTATTTATATTATTATTATTATTTTTTTTTTGGAAAATTAATATTAAATTTTGTATTTAAATTATTTATGAGAATCCCTTTTCTATCTCTCTCTCTCTCCCTCTCTTCAACGTGATTGCCAAAAAAAAAATTAAGGGGGGAGGGGAAACAACAAAAAATGATGAGATTGTAATGAATTTTATTTATATTTTAATCCAACCGACAGGTATATTATAATTTCTTATCATTTTTAATAACCATTCGTATAAGGGTTGATAATATTGTAAAAGTGGACGAGCCGAATATTCGTTCGTACCTGTGACCATTTTAAGACCTTCTTTCCAGGTTATGCTACTACCGAGCGACATCATTTTTCTTTAAAAAAAAAAAAAAATTTAATTTTCGTTATTTCTTTTAAAAATAATAATAAATAATTTATTTATTGGTTAGTATAGGTTCGTACCTTAAATTTTTCGTCGACGTTGTAGAACCGTAAATGTCGCATTTATGCAAAGGTATCGGTAAAGTTTTATTAAAATAATCGTTTCCGTATATTGATGCTTTACACATGGCTTCAAACAATTGCATTTGTAATATGCTGCTCAGGAAATACCTGGAAAATTCGAAATTTTTTTTTTTTCTGATGAGTTTGCAAAAAAATGAGAGGAAAAAGGACAAATATTTACCTTATGTAAGGTTTGTTATCGTTTATGTGAAATTTAGCAGAAGGATCGAAATTTTTTTCGCTTCTTTTCGATGGTGATTTTACTCCTTGATATTTTTCTCTCAATTCCCACCAAGCAGAATTATAATTTAAGGGTGAAATTTCACCCTTGAATACGTTCCAACGCCATTTTTCCAAAAGTAACGCATACGGGATTTGTGGGATTTTATTAAGTCCCTGATACAGCAAAAGTTTTATTTCTAAATCTTCCGACGGCGAAGCAATAAAAAATAAATAAATAAATAATAATAATAATAATTGGAATCGTTTATTTGACTTAATTTTTGTTTTTTTTTTTTGTTTTTTTTTTTTTTTTTTTTTTACCGGGATTATTATTTATTTCTTCGAGTAAACCTAATCTGTTAAGATGAGGAGGTGAAGTAACACCTAACATGATGGCATCACCGATGGATTCTTGAAAAGCTGAATTCACTCCGTCCTGAAAATTGATAAATAAAATTTCCAAATGTGATTCGATTGCTTTTTTTGGGGAGGGAGCAGAAGGAGAAAGAGAAATAGAAGGACGAAGAGAAGGAGAAGGAAAAGGAGAAGGAAGAGAAGAAGAAGAAGAAGGAGAAGGAGAAAGAAGAGGAGAAGGAAGAGAAGAAGGAAGAGAAGAAGAAAGAAGAGGAGGAGAAAGAAAAGAAGGAAGAGGAGAAGAAGAAGAAGAAGGAGGAGGAAGAGAAAAGGAAGGAGGAGGAAGAGAAGAGGAAGGAGGAGGAAGAGGAGAAAGAAAAGAAGGAAGAGGAGAAGAAGAAGAAGGAAGAGGAAGAGAAGAAGAAGGAGGAGGAAGAGAAGAGGAAGGAGGAGGAAGAGGAGAAGGAGAAGGAATAGGAGGAGGAGGAAGAAAAGGAGAAGGAGGAGAAGGAAAAGAAGAAGGAGAAGGAGGAGGAAGAGAAGAAGAAGGAGGAGAAGGAGGAGAAGGAAAAGAAGAAGGAGGAGGAAGAGAAAAAGAAGGAGGAAGAAGAGGAGGGGAAAGAAAGAGGATTTTCAAATTACCTGAAAAATAGCTGGTAAGTTTTCATATTGCATGTAATAAGCCACGTGACCCATTTCGTGATGTATAACAGAAAAATCTTCTTCGTTTATTTCCGCGCATAAAATTATCCTGCGATTAATAAACGTTTATCTCTTATCAGTTTTATTAAAGTTTCAAATAATTAATTTTTTGATATGATAGAAGATTATCCGGGTTTTTTTTTTTTTTTACCTGTAATCTCCCGGTTGAAACATGTTGGCAGCCGTGCCGTGACAAGTCGAACCGTTTTCAGCATTTTTATTAAATTTCGAATATTTCCAAAATGCCGGAGTCATAGGTTTGAATCCGATGGAAACGTAAAAATCTTCTGCTTTTTTAACCATATCGACAACCGTGTAATTTCTTTTTTGTAAATAATAAGTGAGACTGTATTCTTTATTGAAATCCGTTATTATATCTAATAAAGATCCCCAATTTTGCGCCCACATATTTCCTATCATAAAGAAAAAGAAAAAATGGCGACAACATTTTCTTTTTGGAAAATTGCAACAAATCTTTGACGTACCCAACAGATGCGCCGGAAGAGGTTCATAGAGTGATATCAAATCGTTACCGTAGAATTTATTTAATTTATACCTTACGACAGCGTGAAGTGCTTTATACAAAGGTTCGATTTCATTATATAAATTTTCTACAATCAATTCTAAATTATCCATTTCTAATTCTTCGCGCCAACATTCACCGATTTCGTTGTAACCTGGGAATTTAAACAATAGTTTAATTTTAATCGAAAATGAAATGATTTAAAGGGAAAATACCTCCGTTTCTAGCTCCACGATTTAATAATTTAACCATTGTAGGATAAAGAGTTCTCGATGGTGGTCCAACTTTATTCCTCCATTCGACCCAAGCCCAATAAAGAACGTTTGGATCTCTTGATTTCGTCATAATTCTTTCCAAATCCGGTTCTCCTCTTAAACAGATACCAGAGGATATGCAAACTTGGCTCGTTTCGTAAATCGTTTCTAATTCTCCCAAAACTTTCATTAATTTTCTAAAAAATTAATAGACAATAGTCTAACCGGATATCGAATCCTTTTCGAATTACGATAAAAAAATAACGAAATGGTGTCTCACCTGCTTTCATCCAAATTATAATTAGGACCCCTACACAATAAATAAAATTGTCTGAATTGATAATAATAATCAAAATCTTTATTGAATTTATTAAAAAAATAATTATTAAGTCGATGACACCATTTTTCACGCCAATTTATTTGTATTCCTCCGAGTTTGATTAATTTTAATGTAAATTCTTCGGATGGTTCCGTTGATAATTTCCACGAAACGTATCCGGTTAATGAATTTAATTTACCCAATTCGGAATTCATTAGTTTTAAATCGTTATTAATTAAATCGTGATTGTTCACGGCGTGACATCCCCGTAATATCCCGACAAACAAAATCGCAACAAACATTTTCCGAAAAAAAAAAATTTTTTTTTGTTTGTATCGTTTGTCTACGTGAAAGAAATGAAAACTACTACCTGACGCTTGCTCAAAACGTTTAATTTATTTTATTTTGTTTTTACTTTTTCCCTCCCTCCTTCCCCCTTTTTTCCTTTTTTTCCCTTTCTTTCTCTTTCCTTCTCCGTTCTACTCTCCTTTTTTTTTAACTTTTAATGATAGGATTTTCTTTTCTTGTCTTTTCTTTTTTATTTTTGCCATCATCTGATTGATTTCTTTCTTTTTTGTCTTTTGTCTTCTTATTGACTGACACGCCCGAAATGTTTGATTAAATTTTCTTTTTTTTTTGTTTTTTTTTTTGTTTCTCGACATAATTAAAAAAAGATTCTTCTCTCTTTTAATTTTATTTTTTTTCTAATGAATTTTCTTTTGTTTTATTTTTTAATTTAATTTATTAAGAATCGCCATCTTTTTTTTTTTTTAATTCCAGGAGAAAAGCAGCATTTCGCACTAACCTACCCAACCGGTAGCAGGGAGAATGTGGGACTCAGCCAAAGCCACTACCCAACTAAAACTCCTGGACGTGTTTCAGCTTCGATTCTCTTCTGAGCCAGAATCATCAGGTTCACACCACAAGGTAGGAAGATACCGGTACTTTCTCTTTTTACCCCTTCTAGAGACAATCCTGATCTGTTACCATCGTTCCTGCCTCTTCTCCAGAGTCTGTGAGTGTCCGGGGAGATAGAGAGAGAGAGATCTAAGGTCGCGAATCTTGTTAATCTATCTTCCTTTTCTAGCATTTTCCCTATTTGAATCAAGTACCCAGTTTTATCCCCTCAAACAAGGGTTGGCACATTCCCAATGCCTCGAAAGGGTTCAAGGTCACTTATTTAGTAGTATCGGCGACGAATCTATAAGATAGTATAAAAAAAAAGGATTTTTTTCTTATTGAAATTCATTTCGAGATTCGTGAGAAATTATTCATTCATTAAAATGTTTTTATTTATTGTTTCTCGTCCATGTTTTTTTTTTTTTTTAATAAATAAAAACGATTACGATCGAAGGGATTTTTGATTGTAGGGGATTTTCATCCGATGGGGGGGGAAGGAAAATCAAGAATTTATTACTTCCGTTAAAATTTTTCCTTTTTCTCTCTTTTTTTTTCCTTATTTATTCATCGATTGAATACGTAAGTAATCGTGTACGTTTTATTATTATTATTATTATTATTATTATTATTTGTGTCTCTTTTCATTTATTTATTTATTTTTCACTTTTAGCGCGCCATATTTAATTTTCTTTTTTTGTAGGTGTTAGATAACAAAAGATATTAGTTTTATTTTCCACTCATCTTTCCCTTCCTTTCCCTTCCTTTCTACTTTCTTTTTACATAATTTTACTTTTTTAATTTATCCGCCATCTTCTTATCTTCTACCCCCCCCCCTCTTTATTTTTCATCACGTATTTAATTTTCTTAACGGCGAATCCTTTCTGAAATTAAATAATGATAATGATAAAGTAAGAATGACGATGATTGTAAAGGTAACCCCGGGAAAGGAAAAATCTCTCAGAGGGGTGAAGGTAGGGGGAGGGGAAAAAAGAATTTAAAATTAATAAATTGCTTTTTTTTTTAATATATATATAATACTTTTCTCCAAAACAATAAAAAATTTTCCCGGGTTTTTTTAATTTCTTTTCTTTTTCATTTTTTTTTTTTTACTTGTTTTCACATTATTAATTTGGCAAAACTGTAAACAGTTATTGAACAAAAAAAAAAAAAAAATGAATACGAGTATGTTTGTTTACACAAATAAAAATAATTTTTAATTAAGAGATTCCCGTTGTTGTTAATTATTTAAAGTTATTAATTAATAATTTAATTGTCTCTGTGTTGGGCAATGCTGACAGAAATTGTAAAATTTTTAAACAGTAAATGCTATATTTGGCGATAATTGGGTGAGTTTTCACTTTTTTTTTTTTTTTTTAAAATATTTTCTTCTTAACTTCGTGCCTTCTTAACTCCTTTGAAATTTTCCATCATCCCAACATCTTCCTCCACTTTATTATTATTATTATAATTAAATTTGTTTTCCATTAGGTTTCGGGGAAAAAATTTTTTTTTTTACGTCACTCTGACCGAAGAGTCAGTCAGTTAGTTTTTTTTTTTTTTTTTTTTTTTTATTAGCCAATAGAAATGATTAAATTTTCATCGGAAAATTATTTTGATTACAGTATTGTGTGTGCTGTTTTTGCACCCAGTAGTAATATCGGATTGATAAAGAAAAAAAATACGGTGACGTCGAAATTTCGTCATTTAGACGACGAAATAAATGGAAATCGAATCGAATCGCCATTATTACAATCGTATCGAAATGAAAGTTACAATCATTACTACACCGATTATAAAATACCTAATTCAAATAATAATAATAATAATACATTTGAAAAAAAAGATGCAAAAACATTATCAGACACAAATAATACTTTGCCGAATATGAACAATAATAATAATAATAATAAAATACAAAAAAAAAATTTGTCGTTTTTTCGTGAAAAGAAATCACAGATTTTCAGTTTAAATGATCATTTAATAAATAATAATAATAATAATAATAATAATGATATCGATGATAAAATAACGAGAAAAAACAATAAAAAGGGTAAAAGAAGTAAAAGAAGTATAAGAAAATTCAATTATGAAATAGACGCAGTGAAATTTCCCAAATCGTTCGCGTACAACAGTAATCGTGTCAATAAAATTAAAAATTTTTTAATTGATAATAATACGAATCGAAATAAGAATATTGAGATTCACAAATCTTATTATAATAAAAATAATTATTTTCCACCGAGAAGAAAATTAAACGACGATGAATATGACGATTTGAAAATATATGATAATGAAAAGAAAAAATTTTCATATAATAAATTATTACACGGGAAAAATGATAAATTGTCTTATATAGAAAGTAGTTTCGAGGCGACGTCATTCGTTCCACCCCATAAATTCGCATCAACGGAAAAAAAAGTTTTATTAAGTACTTCCGGTTTGATAACTAATAATAATGAAAAAAATGAAATAATAAATAAGGATGCGGTTGATAAAAATATTAAAAATCTACGTCGCGGATCATTAAAAAATTTCCCGGAAAATACATTGAAGAGACCTTATGTGAAAAAGGAAAAAAAACGTTATTTCGATTTGAAACACGATCGTTTGTTTCCTTTGTCGCCGTACCGACATGTTAAAATTCGTCACTCTTTGAGAAATTACTTGATACAGAATAATGCTTGGTCGCCTTTGAAAATTTTCCCAATGAGAATGAGACGTCGTTCAAATAGGGAATCGTGCACGCCTCGTAAATGTTGGAGATCGGCACCTTTATTATGTATACCCTACATTAGAAGAGGACAAGATGAACTTATTAAGTATATAATTAAAAATTTACAACAAATGTTGGGGAAACCGTTTCCGCAGAAAGGCGATATTTTTGAAAAAACAAAATTCAAACCTCAAATGAAAAAATCTGAAGACCCGACTTGCGACGACGTCATTCCTGACATTGATTGTTCCGCGTCGTCACCCAGCGCGTGCACTACTCCAAGTCCAAACGCTTCGTTTCCAAGGTCACTTTACCCATCCACTTGCCCTCAGATTCCTCAATCATCTTCTTCACAAACGTATTCGCATATTTGTTCACTTTCGAGCTCTTCGTCAGGTTATTCAAAGCCTTCTGCAAAATCGTATCAACCTCCTTGTGTGCCTTTATATCCGAAATCTAATAATCAACCTGCTTGTTCGCCTTCATATCCAAAACCTGATGTTTCTCCTTGTCCAAGTCCATTTACAAGAGCTCTTCCTCCGCTTCCTGGTTCACCTCCAAATCCAAAACAACCTGGACAAACCCATTGTTCATCTCCACATCCGAAAAACTTTCAAATTTCTTGCCCGAAAATGTGTGCTAAACCTTGTGCGCCTCCTTGCGTACCTTGCATGCCCACTTGCTTACCCCCTTGTCCAACTCCTTGCTCACCTCCATGTTCACCTTGTTACTCACCTTTTGCTTATCCTCTTCCTTGTCCACCTTTTTGTATAGCTCCTTGTCCAACTCCTTGTTCAACTCCTTGTCCAACTCCTTGTCAAACTCCTTGTCCGCCTCCTTGTCCGCCTCCGTATCAACCATCTTATTCACCTCCCATTGCTACTTCCAGAATTTATCCTTATTCTCCAATTAGTCCTTCTCCTGGTCCTTCTCTTTTTCCTTCTCCCGGTGCTCCTCTTTGTTCTCCTTTTAGTGCTTCTTCTTTTCCTCCCTATAGTTCCTCTCCCAATCCCCTTCTTAGTCGCCCTCCATGCTCTCCTCTGAGTCCTTGTAGTTCTCAAAGTCCTCCCCCTGGTTCTCCAAGTCCTCCCCCTGGTTCTCCAAGTCCTCCCCCTGGTTCTCCAAGTCCTCCCCCTGGTTCTCCAAGTTCTCCCCTTGGTTCTCCAAGTCCTCGCGCTTTTAATCTTTTTCCTAACCGTCCTAATCACAATCCTTCTCCTAGCCCCCTTCCAAGTCATCCTCCTAGTCCTTTTTGTAGCCCTCCTCTAAATACTCCTGTAAATTCTCCTCTTAGTCGTCCTCCTTGTAGTCCTCTTGGTCATTCTCCTGGTCCTCCCGTTAGTCATCCTTCACTTTCTCCTCTTGGTTATCCTCCTGGCCCTCCCGTTAGTCGTCCTTCACTTTCTTCTCCTGGTTATCCTCCTGGCCCTCCCGTTAGTCGTCCTTCATTTTCTCCTCTTGGTCACCCGCCTTGTTCTCCTCTTGGCCATCCTTCCTACCTTCCTCCTGGTCCTTCTCCATCTCTTAATCCTGTTTTAAGTAGTTCTCCTTGTCCTCCTCTTGGCCGTCCTCCCTACCTTCCTCCTGGTTCTTCTCCATCTCTTAATCCTTTTTTAAGTAGTTCTCCTTGTCCTCCTCAAAATCCTCCCTATTATCCTTATTGCACTCCCAGCCCTCCTCCCAGTTCTCCTATGGGTTGCTCCCCTTGTTTTCATTCTAGTTCTTTTCCCTGCCTTTCTTGTTCTTCTTCCTATTTTTCCCCTTCTAATTCATTTTATTCTATGCCTTGTCCGCCACCTGTTACTTCATCTAATTCTCCTCTTTGCACTCCACAATTTTCTTCCACTTTTTCTGTGCCTGTGAGATTTAACCCAACAACCTGTTCAAATATAATTCCAACGCCTTGCCCTACGACTAATCCAGGTTCTTATACGACATCTAATCCAAATTCTTATTCAACACCTTATCCGTTTTCTTTATCCACACCTCATTCAACTTCTTATTTGGGCCCTAATTCAGATTCTTGTTCGACACCTTATCCAACTTCTTTTACGACACCTCATCAATCTCCTTATTCGATTTCAACGCCATCAGAGTGTTCCACTTCACAATATTTTGTAGAAAGTGATAAATTTAGGAACGCACCGACAACTACATCATGCGATAATAATGACAATCCATCAGAAAACGTAATGTCAACGAAAAAAATCACGGTAAAAAGTACAAATTTTTCTCCGATACCTTTTTATCACACGCCTCCTTTCCCAATTCATGATTCTCTATTATCAACTGCAGCCAACGCTCACACAACGGAACTTTCAAATTCAGCACAGGAATCGTTTAGTACAACTCCGAAAACATTGGCCCTTACTTTTCCACCGATAAAGAAAATAGCTTCCTACATAGATTCATGTTCAAAATGTTCATTAACTGGTTTGTTATACGCATCAACGAGTCCTAAAACGATATTTAGTAAAATAAATGATAAATCAACAATGGGATTTATGTTTTCTTCAAAATATTTAAAATCTCGAATCCTTCCTGATAAACCGTCACAAGACAGCAGCAGCAACACCAACAACAACAACAACAACAATCGTTTTTGTTCAAAATGTTTATCCGAAAATACAATGCCAAATGCGAAACAAAAAATTAAAAATTCACTACTATTAAATCAGCCATTGAAAAATTTAATGAGTACAAATGTCGACTTGAGTCGAAAAAGCTTTGTTGCACCAATAAAAAAACCAGAAATCGAAGATGAAAAATTTGCTGATAAACTTATCACAACGGAAAAAGCAACGCAAAATTTACTTCATTTCGAAAAACCGGAAACGAAAAAACGAACTCCGGCGACATTAGAACTAAAAACAACTGATTCATTTATTAATTCTCTACTACGATCGAGTTCTTCTCCGAACGAAAATAATTTAAATAATAATAATAATAATGAAATAAATAACGAAAATTCGAAAACGAATTCGATTATCGGTCAAATATCAAAACCTAATGGAATCCTACTCGGAAAAGAAACGAAAGATTTTCCGTTAACGAATTCTCGTCAAACGAATATCGAAAACCCGGAAAATAAATTTTCCAATTTTCTAGATTACGAAAAATTTTTAACGCCATCAAATTATTTGTCGCCAACGGAAAAATCTCCATTTAAAGAATCAAAAACGAATGCTTACATGAATAATTATAATAATATTAATAAAATGTTTCAAAATTCGTTTTTCGACTACGGGGAAAGAAAAAAATTTCAAAAAAAAAAAAATTTTAAACCAAAAGATAAATTCAAATATAATAATTTGATTGATATCGGCGACAATAATTTTCCAGACTGGAACAATTTGCGGAATATCCCGTATCCGAAAGTTCGCGGATATAGCAAACACCTTTTTCCGTTAGCTTTTGAAAATCGTCCGACAAACGATTTCGAATTGTATAATAATAAATATCCGTTAGGAAAAGCTAAAAATCAATATTTTCATCCGATCAACAATCCTCTAATGAATAATATCGACAACAACAACAACAATAATAATAATAATAATAATCACAATTACGATTCTAAAAATCGACGACGGAAACGTTCTTTGAACTTCCCAGAAGATGAGAATAATGATAATAAATTAGGAAAACGTATAAAAAAAAGATCGTTACGTAATATTTTCCGGAAATATAAAAAAACAACACCGGCGACGCATTTGCTTATCAGTGATTTAGCTGATTTTTTGACAGTGAAAACACCCTATTTCACCGCGACCACAGAAAATTCTAAAACGGAAACCGGAAATGAACCTGATGCCGATGCCGCGCCGGTTAACGCAACAGATTCGTCCCTTGTGACTCCGACCTCATCGACTGAATATGCAGCAGCTACGGAATTGATTGGAAAACCATCGGAAGCCAGTTTTAACAAGGTTAAAACCGAAGTTAAACTCCAAAAAAAATTGAAATCCAATGGAGTTCAAGCAAAAAAACGATCTTCTGGAACGAAAAAAAATGTAAAAAATAATTCTACGAATTCGACTGGAAAAGAAGAAACAAACAATAGTACATCGGTTAGTTATAATAATACGAGTGCCGTTAAAAATAAAAATCAAACCGAGAAAATGGATGATATCGACGATGATTTAACACTACCGGACACGAATGAAACGAAGAAAATAATTAATCCGAAACATGTCGTTTCAAACAACAACACCAACAATTACAATAACAAAACGGAAAAGAAAACAACCGCCAAGGCAATTCATCAATTGAAACGAAACTCTACCAAAAAACACGAAAAAGAACCTGATAAATATGATGACGTAGAAGAGGATTTACAGATACCTACGACGTTAAAATCTGCAAGCATTGCAAAACCTTCGAAAAGGCTTTCGAATAAACCTGTGCCAAAAGTATATAAAAAAGTTTATCCGGATTCAATATCGAACTCGAGTGAAAATCTAGAAAATTCGATGGAATCTCAAACGAATTCATCTCAAAAACCTTCACACCGTAAGTAATTTTTTTTTTTATTTTTTGATAAATTAAATTAACCGACATCACAAAAAATTATTATTAATATTTTATGAATATTCAATGAATAATTAATTTATTTAAATTTTAAAAAAATTTCCATGAAAATTAATTTCATTGTTTATTAAACTTGATTACAAAAATTATTCCAGAACGTTTTGTTTGAAATAAATTATCTCTCTCTCTTTCTCTCTCTCTCTCTCTCGCATAAAACGTTAACTCGAAAAATCTATTTGTCTTTATTTAATTAATTTATCCCACGTTATTTTTCACAGTTACGGAAAAAATATCAAATCAACAACAATGGACGACGAATTCTGATGTAAAACTTCAATTATTAGCCTTGTGCGAAGGTTATTTGGAAGTTGTTAAGTTGGCAAGAGGTAAAAATCCAACGGTCGAAGAAGATTTGGATCCATATTTGAGTAAATATTGTGAAAATGTCATTTCTCAAAGTTTCAATTCGCCGGACACTCCGAAAAATAAAAATTCACCCGTCAACATATTAAAAAACATGATGTCGGTAAAATCACGAACGGTGTCAACGAATCATAAAAAATTTCACGACGGTTTTGAAACGTCGAAATTTAAAAAAAATCAACATCACTATGCAGACGATAATAAAATTAATAACAACGAATTAAATAGTTCCGTTGACTACTATATGAAATCGAATGAAAAACTCAACGGAAATTCATTGAAAAATTCCGACGTTGTTAATTTTAAAAACATTCACGATGATGTTAAAAGTTACGAAGGAAAAGACAACAGAAACAAAAACAGAAAAAAAGACAACAGCGAATTATACACTAAAGGTATGCCAAAGGAACAAGTTGATTTGTTAAATGCACTTCGTAAAGAAAAAACAGCTTTGCTTTCGTGGCTTTTCGACAATAAAGAAAATGATTACACTCCGCAAAAAGTTAAAATTTCTGTCAATGGTTGCAAAGATGGAAACTCATCAACATCGTCTCCTCGTAATTTTCTTTCAGGTACGTTTACATAATATTCGAACGACTAAAATAATTTATAAATAATAACGACTATTTTAAAATATAGGGAAAATTTTACTAACCTGAAAACATGTAGTCAAATATCAAAAACGTCGTGTAAATAGAATTTTTTCTTAATTTAAAATCAATAGTTAGTCTTCTTAGATACGACGACGATTACCACTTTCTCTAATAATGTGTTCTTTTATATTTTTTGAATTCTTTTCATAGTGGTGTAAAATTTTACAAAAACTCTGAACACAAATAATAATAATAATATAAAAGTGTGTAAAACATTTATTAAATAGATTAATAAGAGGAAGAATGAATGTTTAGTTATTAAAAAAAAAAAAAAAATGTTAAATGATCCTTAGCAGGACAATAGTTTTTTCTTTCAAAGTTAGGCACAATCGAGTTTAAAGGCAACAAGCAATTGTTGCAGAACATCCCGGGTATGTCATCCATCAAATCTAAATCTAATTACCCTATTTACGCAAGTTTATACGGTTACGACAGAGGAGGAGAAGTAAGAACTCTTAACGTTTTCTGGAGGAAAATAAATGAAAAAACACACGAAGCCACAGTTTTTAAAAACGTTTCCGTTTTGGCATTATTATTAACATCGACGGTCTCCCCAAATATACACCGTGAAAAAATGAATTTTGACGAGGGTAATTTCAACGATAACGAAGAAATGTTAAAAAGCAAAGATCAAAATAAAAACGGATTTGGAACTTCGCATAAGTCTACGGAAACGACGAATTTTTCATCGACATCAAAACATTATAAAATTGATAAAAAAAATAATAAAAGTCAAACTGAAAGATACGAATTCAAACCTGATTTACCGTCCATGATTGGTTCGTCAAATAATACTCCTGGAAAAAATATGGTCAATGCGACGACTCAAGCGTATACGAAAATACCTAAAATTCCCAGCGCCGAAGATGCCAAACAAAAAATTCAGGTAATGCAATAATTAAAAGAAAAAAAATATATATTTGTATACGTAATAAAATAATTGTACCTGATTATTCAAAAACAACCGTAGGAATTTTTTTTAAAAATTAATTAGTTCTTTTTGAAATTTCCCTTTTTTTTTTTTTTTTTTTTTTTTTTGCTTACAAAAAAAATTGTATTTGATTGTTCCAAAAACTTTATTATTATTGTTATTTTCCAGAAATATAGAATTGAATTTTTGAATTATGCTGTCTACATAGTTCCCATTGTGTTTATAACAATTTTTTTTCTTTGCTGCGCATGTTGTATGTTTCTATTATGGAAATATAAAAAACATAGGAAAAAAATTAAAAAACATCCGAACAGTGAAAATAATTCGGACGGTTCGGAAAGCGAGCAATTTAATAGTAAAAAAAGGCGAAAAAAACCTAAAATACCTGATTCGGATGAGGAACGTTCGAAAAATGCGGGGGGTAAAAAACGAAGGAATTTATGGAGCATGATTAAATCTCGTGGCAACCGTCAAAATTTTGACGAAAACGAAGATGATAATATAATTCGAAGTGAAGATGATGAATCATCGGAAGATAAACCTAAAAAGGCAAAGAGAAAAAATGTCGAAACGTTAGATTCGGACGAAGTCAATTTCGAAGAGACGACGGGTAAAAAAAAGCGTAAAAATTTATGGAACGTTATTAAATCGAGTTCGACGAAACAAAATTCTGAAAACGATGATAAGGATTTAAACGATCAATCATTGAAAGAAAAAAAATTTTTTAAAATACTCAAAAGGAAAAAAAAAGAAGGTAAAGAAAGTCAAAATAATTCGCAAGAATATGAACAACAACGTTCGAAAAGCCTTACGACAACACAAAAAGAAGATAACAACAAAAGCAAAAGTTTTACTAACAAACCTGTCGACGAAAATGAAATTGAAAAATCTCCTTCGATTAAAAATGATGATGATCAAAGTGAAGCCGCGGACAGAAAAGAAATCATTGCACTTTTGGATGAATTAAAAAAAATGGAAATACAACAGTTGGAAGAAAAAAAAAAGGAATCGTCTGTTGTGATACAATACCTGGCACACGATCCGAATAAAAGTTTTGCATTCAGACCAGAAGAATTTTGTCGGTTGCCGGGTTTCGACAAAAAATCTCGCGACATTCAAAGGAATTGCACTTATTGCGACAAACGTTACTCTATGCCATACGACGATATTCAGGGCGCATTGAATAATTATAATTATTGTGATGATACGAGCGAACATCAGAAATTACTTCCCTGCGACTGCGAACGTTATTTAGATAAGAAAAAAGATTTTATTCATCGGAAAAATTATGGATTTAAAAAACCAAGTGAGTGTAAATCATTTTTTAAAATTTTTCGCGGTTCTTCTTCTGCTTCGCCAAAAAATTATTTTAATAAAGAAATGAATTTATTTAAACGTGGAAATGAAAATTTTTTTTTAAATAAATATAAAAGTGTTAGCACGGACACGAGTGATGAAATATTATTTGATGAACTTATTAAAAAAGGAAAAAAAAACGATTTCGATATGGAAGAAAGAGTTTTGAATTCATTCAATTCGTCGTATTCTCCTCGATATAAGACAACTTTTGCAAGTGAAACAGAAACATTGAGGCATGAATCAGTAAGAAAAAAAAAAGTCCAACTCAAAGAAAGCGGAGTACTTTGTAGGCTTTGACGTAATATTAATAATAATAATAATTTGTTATTTAAAAAAAAAAATTTTTATTAATTTATTTTCCGACAGCTAAATTTTAGTCGACATTTTTTTTGACTAAAAACAGTTTGTTTATGTATAATAAACCAGTAGTTTTTAGCAATATTTATTATAATAATTCGTTTTCAGTTTTGTATTAGTTCGTAAACAGTTTGTTTTTACACTTTAATTAAAATTTATTCAAACAATTTTGTTTATTCACATTTTGCTCTTAAATTTATTTATTTATTTATTTATTCATAATTTTTTTTTTATAAAACATTTTTTTTTTTTTTTTTAATTCTTTACTTTTTTTTCAAAAAGTCGGTTAAGCTACATAGAAACTTATGTTGGCAACATTGAATAACTAATAATATTTTTAATATAAACAAAACTTTGTGCTGCGGTTATGTCTACTACCCGTAGACAATTATTTAATTTGATTTAATTTACAATTTAGCTTCCGATGGATTCCAATAATTCGTCTGAATTTCATCCTTACAATTTCACGGAAAATGTTAAAAAAGTTAAAAATATAATATACGGTCGAGACGAAGAAATAGATTACATATTCAGATTACTCGGTCAGGTAAATACTTTTATGAATTGTTTTTTTACTTCAAATTCATTCCCATGCATAATTTTTAATTTTAATTTTTTTTTTCAGACTCCTACGGATGAGCCACCGCCAGCATTATTTATTCAAGGTGATTCAGGTACAGGAAAATCATTGATTGTTAAAAATTGTTTGGAAGCTGGTAAATTCTGTCATGCTATTGTTAACTGTGGTGAAGGCTACTCTCTAAGATTATTGTTTGAAAATATAGTCAATCAACTGACAAAACATGAACTCAACAAAGAAAATAATTATCAGTCTTATGCAAAATGTAGTAATTTTTTAGAATTTGTCCATGTCTTGCAAAACATTTCGAATAAACTCAACATAGGTAACACGAATGATGATAAAAGTTTGTCGATAATAATTGTAAGTATGATTTTCGTAATAAAGGGTAGCCATTTTTTTTTTCATTGTAAACTAATAATATTTGTTTTCTTGTTAATAGGTTTTAGATAAAGCAGAATTATTGAGAAAATTTGAAAAAAATGTAATAACAACATTTTTAAAATTAAGAGAACTTTCAAAATTGAAATTATGTGTCGTGTTTTTAACAATAATACCATGGACCGGATTCATGGTCGATGATACTCCATACGAACCGATAATTTATTATTTAGAACATTATAGTCAAAAAAAAATAACTGAAATATTAAAATTAGATAAACCTGAAGAGTTTTCAATGAAATTTTATGAAAATTATCTATCATTATTTCTAAGTATATTTTATTTAACTTGTCACGATGTGAGAGAATTAAAATATCAAGCGAAATTAAATTTTAATCATTACTGCGAACCGATTAAATCAGGAAATTTAACAGAAAATGATAGCAGCGAATTGTGGAAAAGATGTCAGACATTTTTTAAAAAATCATTAAAATCCCTATATTTAAAAATGGATAATTATTCTGATAATTTAGAAAAAGCCACATCGATAACTTTGCAAGTTGTCAATTTGGAACTGCCATATTATTCGAAATATTTATTAATAGCCTCATATTTAGCTTCATTTAATCCAGCATCAGAGGATAAAAAAATATTTTTAAAAAATCATGGGAAAAGTAAAAAATCTAAAAGAACCAAAAGAGCTGAAAGAGTAAAACTTTATTTGGTTGGACCTAAACCATTTGGAATTCAAAGATTATTCGCAATTGTGTCAGCCATATTGGATGATGATAAATTTAATTTAAATTCTGATTTATTTATCGAAATAGCTAGTTTGGTTAAAATGAATTTAATCACTCAAATAAGTGAAGACGTTTTAGAAAATCCAACGTTTAAATGTAACGTCGGACTTCAATTTATTGATGTTATAAGTAAAAATGTTCAGTTTCCAATTAGACATTATTTAGTCGATTTCATGGATAGTTAAATAATTATAAATAAAATTTTTAATTATGTTTCTTTTTTTTTTTTTTTTTTTCAATTCTGTATCCTTTTGTGTCATTCATTGTTAAAATTTATAATTTTTACTATTTTAAATTCAATGTTAAGTTTAAAAAAAATACGAATAAAATTAAATTTTATTTAAAAAAAAAATTAATTTGGGTAAATAATAATAATAATAATTATTACAATTTTCTCACTCTCATAAATATACATGTTAAGTTCTCATGCGGTTAATCTTTAAAATATTAATTACTTTTTTTTTTTTTGCAGAGGTAATAAAAACATTTTTTATTCATCTAGATGGCTGGTAAATAAATAACCACACATTAGGTATTATTATTATTATTATTATTATTATTATTATTATTATTATTATTAATATAACGCTATTAATTCAACCGTATCGTATTTAAAGTTGAACTTGAAAAAAAAATATTAACGGCATTAAACAAAAAAAATGCAATCTCATACTTTAAATAAAAAAAAAATTTAAATTTGTTTTTGTGACAATAAACACATTAAAAAAAACCATTTATTTATTTTTTTAAGCCCCCCAAGTAAATAATAATAATAATAATAATAATAGTAATTTATAATAACAAACGGTAATTTTTATGTTCCCTAAATTTATGTACGACAATTTAAATTACCTACAAAACCGACAATTATCTTTTTTGATAACTTTATGTTTTTTTACAGCACTCATTTCAAAGATACCTAAAAAAATATATTTAAAACTAAGGTACAATTAGGTTATCGTTTCGAAAGTAAAATAATAATAATAATAATGATTTATTCGTGAGTTAAATGTTTTTTTTTTCGCCCTACAAACGAAATCTTCGACACAAACATTAAACTAATTTTATGTTAAATATTATTTAAACTATAAACAAATACAAAACCTTATCGTACCTGAAAATGAAAATTTTTTTTCATTAATGTTAACAAATTTTATTAACAATATTTGAACTAGAAGCTAAGAAAAAAAGGTACGCATGGTAACAATTTAATTTCTGTGAGAAAATTTTATTAATAATAATAATTTTGTATACGTAACACATTAATTAGTTTTTTTTTTTTTTTTTTTTTTTTTTTTAGTGAAAGGAAAAATCTACGGATTTTTAAATGGATTCCAAAGAAGAAGAAAAAAAAATGGAGAGAAAAAATTACAAATTGATACAGGTTTTCAGCAAAATGGTGATTAACGTTAAGTTGATTTCAGGTCTCAACAACATCATCATTAACGGTATCCCCGAATATTTATTATATATATATTACCAGGGTAAGTAATTCATTCATTGTTGCGTTTGTACGTTTGTTTCACGCACGACGTTAATATTTATTTGATAATTTTTAAAAAAATATTATTATTATTATTATTATTATTATTATTATTATTATTATTATTATTTTTTGAATTGTTTTCAAATCAAAGCGAAAAAACGTGTGCGAAAAAAAGATAAACTTTTCCGTTATTAAATGCCCCGAAAACAATGTAAAATAATAATAATAATAATAATAATAATAATAATAATAATAATAATAATAATAAAATTCTTAAATGAAAACTGGTTAAACGCACGTAAAAAAAAATTTGACCACATTTCTTTTTTTTCGCATCGACGGATGACGTGAATCGATGATGATGATGATGATGATGGCGATGAACTTTTATTAATTATTTGTTAATAATTTTTTTTTACGAATTTTTGACACCTCCCCTTTCCCCCCCCCCCGCCCAAGCTAGAAAAGAATTAATAAACGAAACGTAAATTTTTTTTTTTTCGTTTTAATGGGAGTGACGCTTATTACCGATCGTTACGAAAACGATTACATCCTTTTCAAAATGGCTGCCACTTCCGGGAAAGCGATAAATGTAACAAAAGAATTTTTTTCGCGAAAACGTATTAATGTGTGCACACACACACAAATAATTGGGTAAAGTAACGTCTCGTAAACCGCGAGAAAAAAAAATGATAATAAAAAACGGTAAAAATGGTTGTTTGATTGCAAAAAAATCAAAATGAACAAACGCGACAAACACAATACAACTTACGACTTGTGTATTACTTATTTATTATTATTATTATTATTAATATTCGCGTGTATATTTATATTTAAAAAAAAAAAAAAGTTCATTCTCTTGACCATTAAAAACAGTTTTGTTTAAAGTGTTCGTAATCATAATAATAATAGTAATAATAATGATAATAATAAATTGACTTCCTCTTGTTCGTATAAAAACTTTCCATTCTAAAAACAAAAAACAAAAAAAAAAAAAAAAAGTAACTAAATGATAATAGTAACATAAAATTATTATTATTATTATTATTTAAATTCGTTTTGTTTAAAAAAAAAGCAGACGATTTTCGACTCGGGTTTTTGTGGATATTAATAATAATAATAATGAAAAACTTTTACTTATTCATTCTCGTGGAAAAAAAAAAAACAAAAAAATTATAATATTTAATAAATTCGAAGACTTTTCTTTTACATATAAACATAATAATAATAATAATAATAATAATAATAATAATAATAATAATAATAATAATTACGTCCGTTAGTTTTCATCAAGTCGCCATTTTTTTTTTTTTGTAAAAACATTCGAATAATTTTTTTTTTTTGTTGATCGTGTTATTAATAATTTCTTGATAATTTTAAAAAATGGCGCCAAAATTTAAATAATGAAATTTTTTTCTTATGATTGAATGATTTTTACACATTCGGGTAAAATAAATATTATTATCATTATTATTTTAATATAAAGTGAAAGTAAAAAAAAAAAAAATGTTACATGTTGGACGGATATCCGGTCGAACGATATTTTCAAAGGGCAATCGAAAAATGATCTCCGTGACTTAAAAAATGTACAAACAAAATGTTCGACATTAACCGTTACATTTTCGATGATAAAAATGATAATAAAAAAAAAAAACGTGGAAAAAGAAAATAATAATAATAATTTAATCCGGATTAAATATTTCCCATTGTTGTTTTTTTATTAATATAATCGCAGTTCGTATAAATGGAATTTTTATTTAAGACGTTCGATAGATCGATTGATCGATTTATCGATCATAGATTCACGAAATTAAATCCGTTATCGTAGATTAAATAAAAAAAAAACATGCGTGAACGAATAATTTTTTTTTACCTGTTATTTTGTTAGAATATGGACATAATTTTATTTTCAAACGAATGAAGATGAAAGAGAAATTATTATTGAATGGTACTTGAGGGATCCGTTCGTTCGTTTGTGCCACGTCAAACAAAATAATTTGTCCTGAATAAAAAGTCAAATAAATTATAAAATATTTTTCTAAACCGGTATTCGAAAGGAAAGGTATAAATGGAAAGGTATCGCGAAAAAAAAAGTTTAGGTTTTAAGTTTTGAGATTTTAAGGGTTAATAAAAGGTCAATTTTTTTTTTTTTGCATTATTAGCGGCTCTAATTATTAATCCCGAGATTAGATTAATGACCGTTGCTTTTTTTTGACCTTATTTGATTTAAATGGAGAAATTTTTTTTTTTTTTTTGCACGCGGTGAATTATTAAAAAAATTCAAACATTCGACGTCCTTTGATTTATATTATATATACTCATTGGGTCAATTCAATGTTTGACACACATCGAACGAAAAGAAAACCGGAAATTGAATAAATAATATTTTATTACGTAAATTATTATCATACTATTATTATTATTATTATTATATTTTAATACGAATAATTTTATCGTTAAACGATTTATAAATAATTACGATAAAATTTTATAAATTACGTAATAATAATTTTTTTCGGGATGCTGATTTGACTTTTTTTTTCGAAAAAATTGTTTCCTGTTGTTCCCGACAGAGGGATGACGTTTTTTAAAATCATTCGTAACGTTTATATATAAAAAGTGAAAACGTTTTTTTTTTTTGTAAGTTTTGAAATTTGAATTTATACATAATTACACGCGTAATAATAATGCGAAAAGAATACATTTAATTAAATTTAAAATAAAAAAAAAAAAAGTAACGGACGATAAAAAAACGAGGTTCGCGAGTTCGACGTGAATGTTTTTTTAAAATGGGTAAATTTAATAACGGAACGTTCATTTATAAAAATTTTTTTAACGGTTATTTGTCATGCCGCGAATAATCGAAACCTATTACTTTCCATAAACAATTACATGTACTTAAACCCTTTTTACATTACGATAAATTTTTCACATTGCAATGTTAAAAGACTCTATAAAACTATATGAAAGACGTTAAGTTGTTACTTTTTTAACACTAAACCTGAATTTGTTTCGTTTCCGTTTTGTAGTATAAGAAAAAAAAAAAATTTTTTTTTTTTTTTTCTTTAATTTTATTTTAACATTTGAATCTTTTACTCAGTCATTGTAGTTAAATTGTAGTGAGTTGAAGTCGCAGACATTTTCTTTTTTCTTTTCGTTATTTTTATATTTGTTTTCGTGAAAAACGTAATAATAAAAAAAGAATTTACGTGATAAAAATTTTAAAAAAACAGGGAAAATTTTTTTTTGTGTTTTTCCGGATAAATTTTCCAACGGTCGTTTTCGATGTAAATATGAAGTAATACATTATATTAAAAGATCGATAACGTCATTCATTAAGGTAAGTTATTATTAATTAATTTATTTATTTAAAATTAAAAACAAATCAAATTTTACGTTTGCTGTAATTTATTGTAATTCGCAACTCAAATATTTCCAACATGGCGACAATATTTTTATTATTAATAAAACGAACCGATCGGAAAAATTACAATTTATTACGGTAATTTTTATTGAAAATTTTGTTTAAATGAAGGAAACCAACGAGAAAAATTATTATTATTATTATTATCATTATTATATTTCATTAACTGTCAATTAGTATTAAAATCATTTGAATCCTTTAAAAAAAAATTTTAAAAAGGTTTCAAAAGGTACGAGATGAAGGGGGAAAAAAAAACAAATCGAATTTTCTCGTTTAACAAATTAACTTCGAGATTTAAATGACCGGAAGTTTATCTAAAAACGAGATTTCCAAGGTAACAAAAATAAAAAAATAAAAAATGGTTCGGTAATTAATATTTTAATCATTTACAAAAAAAAATATTTTTATTACCCGACCGCCATTTTTCTTAATTAAAAATATAAAAAAAAATTTGTTTGCACGATTCCGTTTGTTTTCTTCCTAAATTATTATACTCCCTTACGGTTACGTTGATAATAATAATAATAATAATAATAATTATTATTATTATGTTATGACGTCACTTTTTCTTTTTGTGAATGGCAAACGTTTTTTCCATTTTATTGTGTTTAAAATAGATTGATCCACTTTAAAAAAGAATTTCTTTTTAATTTTGTTTGTTGGAAAAAATAGACATAAACAAGAGTAGAAACGTTTGTTGTTGTTGTTGCCTAATAAAATTGTCACCTTGTTAAAATTTTTTCTTTTTAATGGAGCAAATATTTATTATATTCGAGTAGGAAGATAATAATAATAATAATAGTAAAAAAAAGCAACGTAATGGTTTTTTTTTTTTTTGGTAGAATTCTTTAGTGTTGTCGTTGTTGTTGTTGTTGTTCATTATTTCGTTTGTACGATTGGCCATTTTTTTTTTTTTTTGATGTAACAATTTACATTGTTAAAAATAAATCGCGCGGGAAAATTAAATTCGCCGACATTTTGTAACTTTTTTTTTTACTTATCGTAATATGATTACTCGGTAATTTTTTTTTTAAATTATACGCCGCGTAATTAATTACGTTTTAAACGGTAGTTTATAAAAAAAAACGGTTAACGTTATTTAATTATTTAAACTCAAACATCTCAAATAATAATAATTGACAATTAAATAATTAACAATAATGATAATAATAATGTTTTATTTTAAAAAAAAAATTTTCCCCCCCAAAAAACAAAAAAATCCGATTTTTTTTT